CAAGATGAATGGTGTATATGCAAAAACCAAACAAATTAGTAAGACAAATAATGTCCATCCTAGAGATCAAACTCAGGAATAACATAGACCTACAAATGTACATAATATGGATGGAGTATTTGCAAAATACATCAAACAAATTAAAAAGACAAAATTGTTCTCAAAATTATAAAAAAGGAAAATTAAAACAAACGGCTACGATATGAGGACACAACGTGGCGATCTCTCACCAGCTAAAATTCAAGTAGTTTACGGTACTGCATAATTAGTTTTAAAGTTTAATTTTATAATTTTAATAGAACTCTATTTACAATTGTTATCCTCTCACATGCAACATCATATACCAATGTATATAAGCCAAAAAATATAATAATTTTCATAGCAGTTTCATCTCCTTCTACAGATATATGTCTTTGTTATTTTCTTCTTATTAGATTAGATTAGATTATTTTAAAGCAATTAGTTATATTGTATAGTTGATTTTTTTATATCAAGAAATATCAATAATTTTCACAGCACTTTCATCTATTTTCTTCTTATTAGATAGATTAGATTATTTTAAAGTAATTAATTATATTGTATGTTTGATCTTTTTTAGATTAAAAATTATAATAATTTTTATAGTAATTTCATCTCTTTCAACAGTTTTGTGCATTTGTTGTTTTCTTCTTACTAGATTAGATTAGATTATTTAAAAATTATAAATTATAAAATTATAATAACTTTCATATCATTTTCATCTATTTTATTCTTATTAGATTAGATTAGATTATTTTAGAGTAATTATTTATATTGTATGTTTGATCTTTTTTTAGATCATAAAGTTTAATTATACAATTATTATTTAAATAGATATTATTTGTATAAAAATCAAAGGTAATCTCACACATTTTTTAGATCTCAATGCCAATTATAATATTTACACATGGGTGTTGGTTAAAACAAATTTCATGTATGGGCTTAACTTATATGATCCTACTTTATCCGAATTAAATAATTTAATTTTTTTAACACCCAAACTCTTCCACAAAATTAAAAGAGAGTATCAATGCTATAGCTATATATATCCACAGGACCGCAGATATATTAAAAATGAACGAAGAAAATCACACAAATAAAAACCATATTAATTACCTACACACACCCACTATTTTCAAAACCACTCTTCTCCATCTCTATCTATAATACATTCACATACCAAATTAAGCTGCTGGAGTTTCCCCTCCCCAAACTACAACATTGATCAACCCGTCTTTTTCCGTTGTACTTAAATTATATAACATTTATTGTAATTAGAGCGCACATGGGCCCAATAAAACAAATAATGTACTAGGCCTTGTAGTTAGTTAATTATGAGATCCTATAATTATAAAAAAAACTAAGTAAAGATTAATAATTTGTAAGAATGTACTACGTTCCCCTAGCTTTCACTACAAACTTGCTAGTTGTTTATTTCTGGCCCCAAGAGATTTTTAAAATTGATCATCTATTTTATAAAAAAATGTCTAAATAAAATTTATGGCAAATGTAATAATCCATGTTTATAGATTTTAACTCAAAATGAATCTTACTTATTTTATAGTAAGAAAATAAACAAAAATAATTGTTTTGATATTTAACCACTTGCATGCATTGCACGTGCACAAGAACTAGTATTTATAAATATATCAGAAGAATTCTTAATTTATTATAACTGAACTTTTCAACTACATTGCACTAAATTCTAAAGAGAGAAGAACAACAAAAGTGAAAGGTTATTGCTGAGAACATTCGGTTGGTAAATTGTGTTGAGTCACGTGGTTTGTTTAATTCAGTTTAAGTTTTGTCCGAGTCCTTAGGAGTTTGTTGAGTCCTTAGGAGTTTATTGTTAGTGAAATAATGGTTTAATTGTTATAAGTCCTAGTCTTTGGACACTTATGTAGGAGTTAGTGGCTTTATGTATATAGTCGTTTGATGTTCAGCTCTATAAATAGAACAATTTTTTTTGAGTTTCAAAGATACACAGCAATGAAGTTGGTTTGAAGCTGGTTCGAGATCCTGAAGGAAGGAAGATTGACAGCACTCAAATTGTGGGGAGTTTGATGTATTTAACAGCTACAAGACCTGATATAATGTTTGTTGTAAGTATTCTTAGTAGGTATATGGAAAACCCAACAGAAATACATATATTAGCTACAAAAAGGATTTTTCGCTACTTGCAAGGAACAACAGATTATGGACTGCTCTACAAAAAGGGAGTGAAGTCAAATCTATTGGGTTTTACTGATAGCAATTATGGCGGAGATCAAGATGGTCAAGAGCACTTCAGGATTTGTTTTTATGCTTGGCTCGATCGGGAGCTGTTTCATGGTCTTCAAAGAAGCAAGCTAGCGATTGTTACTTTATCAACAGCAGAAGCAGAGTTCGTTGCTGCAACAGCCTGTGCTTGTCAAGCTATATGGTTGAAGAAAAATCTTGAAGAGATTCATTTCAAGCAAGAAGGAGTCACTACAATTTATTGTGATAACAGTTCAACAATAAAGCTCTCCAAAAATCATGTTCTAGATGGAAGAAGCAAACATATAGATGTGAAGTTTCACTTCATAAGGGATCTCACAAAGGAAGGTGTCGTTGATCTCATCCATTGCAGAAGTGAAGATCAAGTTGCTGATATTTTTACCAAGTTCCTCAAGATAGCTGCATTTCAGAAGCTTAGAAGTTTGCTTGGCGTATATTCCTTGAAGAATGTTGTTTGAGTGAAGGTGCTGCAAGATTTTGGTAAACTGGATGTTTTAATACTTTTAGTTTAAGGGAAGGAATGTTGAGTGAAGTGGTTTGTTTAATTCAGTTTAAGTTTTGTCCGAGTCCTTAGGAGTTTGTTGAGTCCTTAGGAGTTTGTTGTTAGTGAAATAATGGTTTAATTATTACTGTTATAAGTCCTAGTCTTTGGACACTTATGTAGGAGTTAGTGGCTTTATGCATATAGCCGTTTGATTTCAGCTCTATAAATAGAGCAATCTGTTTTGGGTTTCAAAAATACACAGCAGTGAAGTAATAAAAGGTCATGTCTCCTTCCCTTGCTGTATTGTCGATCTCTCTCTCTCATTTCTATCAACAAATTGTAGATGTTGTCCGTACAGCCAATGATGTAGAGAATTTTTACCAATGTTTTAGCATTATCATGTTATTATTTCTTTAATGAAACAGGATGATTACGTACGCTACATATACACTTTCTTCTTTGAAAAATGAAATTATTAACCATATAGGCGGGAACCTTATGCAATTCATGGGCCTACTAACTATTGTGGTCAATTATATTCTATATTAGGCTTGATCCTATCTAAATGTGAATCTTATCCTATACTTTCAACCACCAGAAAATGGAGAAGACCGCCTGAATTCAACAGACAACAAAGAACATATTCTCTTCACATAATTCAAATTTTAGCTAAAGTTCTTAGGCTTCATATATGTCTTTCCCAAAGCAAGACAAAAAATTAGGAATTAAGGGATGCCTCCTCTCGTTTAAGTCTGAAGAATCCACTACTAGCAACAGTATTAAGACTCTGCGTGAACCAAGGTTCAATTGAAAAGGTAAGATCTCCTACTTTACACAATCAATGCAGTATTAGTCTTAATATTGTTGGGGGTCTAATCACAAAATTAGAACTACAGGGATCTATCGCATTTAACCCTTACAAAAAATAAGAATGTCTCTTAACATATTCAACATTAACACCTTGCTTTTTGTACGTATGTGATCTAAAAGTCTTCCGAAATTATATTGAAAGCCACTTTAGCATAACAGAGCTGATTTGTTACGTGAATCAAGCTACCATATCCTCTCTTTCTTTTCCATTTTATTTGACCACAGTTGATCCAAATTGACTTTGACCAGTCTAATTATATTCCTTAAGTATCCTTAAGTATTTTTAAAAATACAAAAAAAAAATTTCAATTTCTTAGCTAACAAAACAAAACCAAGGAAACTTTTGGCACGCTTCAGCGACTGTGAAACGAAAAGAAGGAAACGGGATACCCTGAGAAGCAGGGGGCTGGGCTTCAATTTGCTAACGGGCCTCATCAATCGGACGCTTTCGGTCGCTAATTTTAGTGGGCCCACGAGAATATGTTGCTGGTCCCACACTTTCTGGTATTGACGCCAGACCTATCTGAGTTCCGTGTATTTAGTGGGGCCTAATTACATGCCAATAAAGTTTAAGTAGTTTCGTGTATTTTTTAAAATTTAATTAGCATGTGATTAGTCAACACTAATCATACTGAACCACTAGTTCCGTGTATTTTAAAAACTATGTTTTATAAAATCGACAAAAGAAGCCAATTTAATTTATTAAATCCACAAGAGAGGGGTAGGTTGCGAATGTCTTACTGTTAATTTTAAATCAGCATAAACAATATGCAAAGGTGGTACGCCTCAAAAAATAAATTTGTTTTTAAGAAGAAAAAAATTCCATGCGGACAGAATACTGATTCCAAAGAAAATTACGTAAATGAATGCGATATTAAAGTCCGAAGCTAATATTCTCATAAGATTTTTCAACGGAGCGGCCTACACATTATTCTCTTATAAAAGTCCAAGGGCTAAGGTCAGCAAAAGCATGGGCGCACGTGCGAGGGGTAAGAGAGGCGAGCACTGCAGGTTTTCTTCCGTGGCCTTGATTGATGGTTGACGGTGAGCTGATAATAACAGGAATTTTGCATGGGGCGGCGGCTATTTAAGAAGCCAAGAGGAATTTGGGTTCCTCGTCCCTGAACAAGTGGACCTGATTTAAGTTCAAGCCAGCCCTATCTGATTTGTCTACTGCCACTCTTCAGGATGCGGGGATTTAAATTAAATTTTTTTGTGAAAAAAAAAATCATGTAAAGCGATCTATGTAGATATATTCTATGCGCAAATCCATGCAACGCATACATTTGGCATTTACTGAGTTGGATTAGATTTAGAGAACAATATAGCCAGAGATATTCAAGACCAGGGCAGAAACAAGCAAGGCATCTAACTTGAAGAAGATAATTAAAGCAAGGCATCAAAATATCGCAGCATGCCCGCTAAACAAACCTAGCTGAATGTGGTAACAATCAGACATCAAAATAACGTGGCCAACATAAAATCGCCATAAGCAGCAACATGATCAATAATAATCCCTAAAATTTAAGTTGTCAAGAGTTTAAATGATGAAACCAGCAGAGACCTAAAAGTGCCATGATAATAAAGCAAAGACTGAAACTTAATCCACCTCCTCGATCTTAGGACCAGCGCCGCTGCCTCCAGCTGAGGGACCATCTTCATCCATTCCAGCACCCACATCAGCACCAGCGCCCTGGTACATCTTCGCAATAATCGGGTTGCAGATGCCCTCAAGCTCCTTCATCTTGTCCTCAAACTCATCGGCCTCTGCAAGCTGGTTGCTGTCGAGCCAGCTGATCGCCTCGTCGATTGAATCCTCAATCTTCTTCTTGTCGCCAGCATCCAACTTTGAAGCAATCTTGTCGTCCTTAATGGTGTTCCTCATGTTGTACGAGTAGTTCTCAAGGGCGTTCTTGGCCTCCACCTTCTTCTTGTGCTCCTCGTCCTCAGACTTGTACTTCTCGGCCTCCTGGACCATCTTCTCAATCTCTTCTTTGCTGAGCCTGCCCTTGTCGTTGGTGATGGTGATCTTGTTCTTTTGACCGGTTGTCTTGTCCTCAGCAGAGACGTTTAGGATTCCATTGGCATCAATGTCGAAGCAGACAGTGATCTGAGGAACACCACGAGGAGCAGGAGGGATGCCAGAGAGCTCAAACTTGCCGAGCAAGTTGTTGTCTCTTGTCCTCGTCCTCTCACCCTCATACACCTGGATCAAGACACCTGGCTGGTTGTCAGAGTAGGTAGAGAATACCTGCTCCTTCTTGGTAGGAATTGTGGTGTTCCTTGGGATCAAGACAGTCATCACTCCCCCGGCAGTCTCCAAACCAAGAGAAAGAGGAGTGACATCCAACAGCAACAAATCTTGCACCTTCTCATTGCCCTCACCACTAAGGATAGCAGCTTGGACGGCAGCACCATAGGCAACAGCCTCATCAGGGTTAATGCTCTTGCAGAGTTCCTTGCCATTGAAAAAGTCCTGCAGCAACTGCTGCACCTTGGGAATCCTGGTAGAGCCTCCAACAAGAACGACATCATGAACGGTGCTCTTGTCCATCTTGGCATCCCTCAAACACTTCTCCACCGGCTCCATACATTTCCTGAAGAGATCCATGTTCAGCTCCTCGAATCTGGCCCTGGTGATGGTTGAGTAGAAGTCGATACCCTCATAGAGAGAATCAATCTCGATTGTGGTCTGGGCGGTGGAGGATAGAGTCCTCTTCGCCCTCTCACAAGATGTTCTCAACCTCCTAAGAGCCCTGGGGTTGCCAATGATGTCCTTCTTGCTCTTTCTCTTGAACTCCTGGACAAAATGGTTCACCATGCGGTTGTCAAAGTCCTCTCCTCCAAGATGGGTGTCACCAGCAGTAGCCTTGACCTCAAAAATACCTTCCTCAATGGTAAGAAGAGAAACATCAAAGGTGCCACCACCGAGGTCAAAGATGAGGACATTCTTCTCACCGACGCTGGTTGCCTTCTTGTCAAGACCATAGGCAATAGCAGCTGCTGTCGGCTCATTGATAATCCTCATGACATTAAGGCCTGCAATGACACCAGCATCCTTGGTGGCCTGACGTTGCGAATCGTTGAAGTAAGCAGGGACTGTGACAACGGCATTCTTAATGGTAGAACCAAGGTAAGCCTCAGCAATTTCCCTCATCTTAATCAGAACCATGGATGAAATTTCTTCAGCAGCAAACTGCTTCTCCTCTCCCTTGTACTGGACAACAATCATGGGCTTGTCTCCGGGGCCAGGAATGACCTTGAAAGGCCACAACTTGCAATCACTCTGGACAGAGGCATCACTGAAACGCCTTCCAATCAAACGTTTTGCATCTGAGAAAAAGATTGAAATTAACATATCAGTTAATTGCACATTTTCTATGCTAATGTAAGCAACAATTTCAGCCAAAAACTATCCAAACAATCAGGTTCAACAAGGTAAATCATTGAGTACTATAAAGCAGAATCTACTCCAATTTACATTTCATCCAACCTCTCACCAACAAAATGTGAATCAATATTTACGTAAACATCTAAAATGTCAAACACAATTAACATATAAAATCTATACTTCATAGATGACTAAGGCAAAGAGATGGGCAGCGGAATCAAATTTAAATTTTTATTTATGATGCTAATAAGTTAATTATAGCCAAGAAAGAGACAACGGACTGCAAGTGAAACGAACAATTAAGAAACAGGAATTTACTACACATCTGTATGTAAGATTTTGTAAAGCCCCAGAATTTTTATAATTTATTGGAGAATTTATTTAAGCTTTTATAAGTTTTATGATGTGTTCTTATCATTCTGTGACGAATGGAATCAGTTAGAATTTATTTGGAGTTTGTTTGCAGCTCGGGTTATGGTACCGTGAGTCTGCCATCGCACAGCAATTTGAGCTGTTTCTGGTGATCGGATGGGCCTTAGCATGACGCCATCGATCTTAGAATGTGGTTTTTGTACTTTGAGCTCAGTTTGGGTCGATTTGGACTATTCGTTTGCAGTTTCGGTTCCGGAGGCACGAGCCAAATCAAAACTTATAGTTTTTTATTTTTAATATTTTATCTGTAATTCGGATGGACGCGCGGTCAATGCCGTCATTCTCAAAACATCGAGACCGTGTGGTAAATCGACGATTTATTCTGGTACCGAAGAAAATCAGAGTTTCGAGCTGGTATAATACCCTGATGAATAACTGTATTTTACCTGTTTTGACTTAGTCAACTTTTAATGTGGACCGTTGGATAAGAGTTTGATTAATTGAGATTCAATCTAGGCCTTTAAATTCTTTCTATAAGAAAATGAGAATGTAAGAGAGAGGGGGATAGTTCATGAACACTCTCTCCTCTCTTATCTTCTCCTTCCTCCTCTCAAACTCAAGAACCATGGCCATGGTGAACTAAAAATTTTTGAAAAAATTTGGAGAAACTTCTTGAACGAAAAAGCTTGGCCTCGAGTGGATCTACATCTTTCGTGAAGAACAATCCGTTGGTTTTCATTTTTCGGAGATTGAATCATCATTAACGCAAGTTCATCTCCTCTAAACCTCACCATCCTTTGGTGTGTTGTATTTGATTTTATTATTAAGTAGAATTCAAGATCAAATACTCATATCTTGCCTAATCAAACTATAAAGGAGGGATTTATGATTTTTTTAAGAAATCAAGAACATATTAAGTTGTAAATCATGATATTCTTAGGATATTGTTGATATGATATGGATTGCAGAAAACTTCAGCACATGTATGAATTTTAACTGGAGATTCGAAATAATAAATAAACTCCAAATTAAACCAAACTAGTTCCAAATGAAAACTATACGAGTCTAGTTTCTAAAACAGGAAACAATTCTAAAATTGAGTTTTTATAGAGAAAGTTATACTTGATTTACTAAGGACATGTTCTACAGAAAACTGCAGCACATATATAAACTTCAAATAAAAACTGTGTATAGAAGATAAAGTCCAAATTAAATCAAACCAGTTCCAAATGAAAGCGGGGTGAGTCTACTTTCTAAAACAGGAAACAATTCTTAAATTGAGTTTGTATAGAGAAAGTTATACTCAATTTACTAAGGACATGTTCTGCAGAAAACTGCAGCACGTGTATAAACTTCAAATAAAAACTGGGTATAGAAGATAAACTCCAAATTAAATCAAACCAATTCCAAATAAAAGCTGTGTGAGTCTAGTTTCTAAAACAGGAAACAATTCTTAAATTGAATTTGTATAGAGGAAGATATGGTTTACTAACCATATATCATGTAAAAAACTGCAGCTATGTTGATTTGAAATGATTGATATATTACATGAAGGTTTATTTGAGAGTCGTCTTATGTTGAGTCCGTGTCGACAAATCCCGCGTTTCAAGTCGACACAGTGTTGTCTCGTCCATCGATAGATACGACAATTGAGAGTGTTGTCTCGTCAATCATTTCAAATCAACATATCTGCAGTTTTCTGCAGGATATATGGTTAATAAATTGACCATATCTTCCTCTATAAAAACTCAATTTAAGAATTGTTTCCTGTTTTAGAAACTAGACTCACACAGCTTTTATTTGGAACTGGTTTGATTTAATTTGGAGTTTATCTTCTATACCCAGTTTTTATTTGAAGTTTATACACGTGCTGCAGTTTTCTGCAGAACATGTCCTTAGTAAATTGAGTATAACTTTCTCTATACAAACTCAATTTAAGAATTGTTTCCTGTTTTAGAAAGTAGACTCACCCCGCTTTCATTTGGAACTGGTTTGATTTAATTTGGACTTTATCTTCTATACACAGTTTTTATTTGAAGTTTATATATGTGCTGCAGTTTTCTGTAGAACATGTCCTTAGTAAATCAAGTATAACTTTCTCTATAAAAACTCAATTTTAGAATTGTTTCCTGTTTTAGAAACTAGACTCGTATAGTTTTCATTTGGAACTAGTTTGGTTTAATTTGGAGTTTATTTATTATTTCGAATCTCCAGTTAAAATTCATACATGTGCTGAAGTTTTCTGCAATCCATATCATATCAACAATATCCTAAGAATATCATGATTTACAACTTAATATGTTCTTGATTTCTTAAAAAAATCATAAATCCCTCCTTTATAGTTTGATTAGGCAAGATATGAGTATTTGATCTTGAATTCTACTTAATAATAAAATCAAATACAACACACCAAAGGATGGTGAGGTTTAGAGGAGATGAACTTGCGTTAATGATGATTCAATCTCCGAAAAATGAAAACCAACGGATTGTTCTTCACGAAAGATGTAGATCCACTCGAGGCCAAGCTTTTTCGTTCAAGAAGTTTCTCCAAATTTTTTCAAAAATTTTTAGTTCACCATGGCCATGGTTCTTGAGTTTGAGAGGAGGAAGGAGAAGATAAGAGAGGAGAGAGTGTTCATGAACTATCCCCCTCTCTCTTACATTCTCATTTTCTTATAGAAAGAATTTAAAGGCCTAGATTGAATCTCAATTAATCAAACTCTTATCCAACGGTCCGCATTAAAAATTGACTAAGTCAAAACAGGTAAAATACAGTTATTCATCAGGGTATTATACCAGCTCGAAACTCAGCTGATTTTCTTCGGTACCAGAATAAATCATCGATTTACCCCTGACACAGTCTCGATGTTTTGAGAATGACGGCATTGACCGCGCGTCCATCCGAATTACAGATAAAACATTAAAAATAAAAAACTATAGGTTTTGATTTGGCTCGTGCCTCCGGAACCGAAACTGCAAACGAATAGTCCAAATCGACCCAAACTGAGCGGTTTTGATTTGGCTCGTGCCTCCGGAACCGAAACTGCAAACGAATAGTCCAAATCGACCCAAACTGAGCTCAAAGTACAAAAACCACATTCTAAGATCCGAAACTGCAAACGAATAGTCCAAATCGACCCAAACTGAGCTCAAAGTACAAAAACCACATTCTAAGATTGATGGTGTCATGCTAAGGCCCATCCGATCACCAGAAACAGCTCAAATTGTTGTATGACGACAGACTCACGGTACCATAACCCGAGCTGCAAACAAACTCCAAATAAATTCTAACTAATTCCATTCATCACAGATTGATAAGAACACATCATAAAACTTATAAAAGCTTAAATAAATTCTCTAATAAATTATAAAAATTTTGGGGTTTTACAGATTTATATCAGGCTAATGGATTTTTATTAGTTTAAGAAAGTGTATAATGCAGGTACACACCTATACTTTCCAGCAGACTTATCACCCCTTAACTCATCTATTATCCTTCAACACCCCCTCAATTCATAATGCTGAGGGGACTATGTGCAATTTAATCTTGTCAAAATTTGAATTTAGGGGTGGAAAGTGCTACTAAAATATTTGAGTGCTACTAAAGTTATAGATAAGTAGTACTTAAGTTATAGATAAGACAAACTACCTGCAATGTAACATGTAAGAAAAAGGCTAAATTACACAAAAATAACCTAGCGTTTCCAGAAAAGCAATTATATTCCAGAAAAGCAATTATATACCTAGCTACAAAATGGATCAAATTTATGGCTCAAATTGTAAAATAACTACAATTTGCTACCTTTTCTTAACCAACCATGAGAATATTCTCCAACATAATCCAAATTTTGGACATGTGACTAGTTCAAATGCTATCTACCCTCTTTCTAATACCTCCCTCTTCTTCTTCTTTCTTATTTCTTTCTTCTTCTACTTTTTCTTTCTTCTTCTTCTTCATTAACCAAGCTTTGCCATCTCAATTTTTAAAGGAAAAAGGTTAGTTGAACTCTTTTCCCTCCAAAACATCAAATGGTTCTTCAAGCTACACTGGGAATGAAGATTGTCGGTTCTTCATTAGAAATGGCTAGAATAGTTCTCCATCGTGTCCTAGTTCATCACTCAATTCCCTTGATCACTTCTAGATGACCCCTAACCGAGATCTCTCTCAAATCCAGTGTTATCAAAGGCACACGCCTCATGCGCCCTGCGATGTAGTTTTTAAGGAGAAACAGTAAAAAATGGGGTTTATTTAAGCATGAGGTTCTTTATTAACAAGGGTAATCTCATCCTTTTAGTTAAAATATATAGCCATATAACAAATTCACACGACGAACTCGGGGCATATATTTGCTCCATTTTGTAACCTAGGGTATTAAGTGTAGTTTGGGGAAACAATCAGGTATTTATGTGCACTTTAGCCTTAAATGATGTTAAACTCTGAAGTATAAGCTAGTATAAAATACGCACAAGATAATCCATGAACATAATCCAACGTAATGTTGATATTACTACCATAAGATGATTGAATATGAAAAAACCAGTTAAGTATAACTTAAAACCCTAATCCTCGAGCCATGCTCGTACCCAACCAATCTCCACACTCACTTTCTCTTCATTCTAATATTATTATAAACCTCATAGTCTCATTTCATGTGAAAATGTATTATTATAAACCTTCTCGAAAACAAAATGAACACACTTTTTGGCTCCTCCCCACCCGATAATGGTGGCAAGAGGCTAAGTGGATGAGAACGTCAAGTCATATTCTCACTTTGAAAGGAATTTGCGAGAATAGCCACCCTATCAAATAAACGATCACAATCAAAGCCACCAAATCTATGTATGATCTGGCAAAGAATGGTGCATGATCACTAGGAATGGACATCATGAGGTCTAAATAAACCTCCAGCGACCTTTGATCAAAGACAAATTAAACTTCTTTCAAAGTAGGAATAACATTTGATGTGTCAATATATAGTTTAAGCAACGGTGATCAGTCAATGTTATCAAGAAAGTCAAATAAAATACTCCTGGGAGACAAGATGATGAGATACATGGTAATCTCGAGATTGATAAAGAATGTGTGTGTGTAAGGAGAGTACATAGTAAACAAGCAGATTAGTATTCAAAGTTATATTTTAATAGATGTTATTAATATTGGTCACCAAAATTATTCATGTTTTTGAATTTAGTCCCCTAAATGTCCCTATTTAAAAAGTTGATGAACTCTGACATGGATGTTTAACTATATTTGAGTTTCGGATAGTCAGTTTCATATTAATAAACCGAATTATAGACATAGCACCCAAGGAATTTTTAGATGTTTTGAAGTGTTAAGATAAAAATAAAAATGTCATGACAATAGAAGAGAACAAAACAGGAAAAGGGCAACACTAATAGAAAGCAATCATGTAACGGAGAGCAAATTTGATAGTTTCAAATAACTAAATGAAATAAACATGAAGGGAAGGAAAGAAATCTCGGGGCTAATATTAATGGGCTTGGATGCAAACATTTGTACAAGAAATCCACAAGCTATTAGCAAAAATTTCACCTCTACATAACATTTTAAGGGCTGATACCAACTGCTTGCGTTATATCACGCTATCAATGTTAGGTTTAATAATTTTGGGTCTTGGGTTGTATCACAAGCAACATAATGAAAGTTTCCACCACATAGTAATTAGTAATCTAAATAGAATCCCCTAAAACTTATCTTACATTTTACACTAGATCTACAAATGGAACCAAGCGCTAAAGCAAACATAAGCTCTAAACTCATCAGATCCCAAATCAAGCCCAGATCTCAAAACAACAAAGCGTACACCTAGTAACAGTCAAGGACTAAGATAGCTGCTTCAGATAAGCAACATAATAAATTTTCCCAAACTAAACAACTACTCCCTAAAAATTTGCCTTTACACTAAAAATCTACGAATAGAACCAAGATCCAAACTTTAACCTCATCAGATCTCAAACAACACCAAATCTCAATATAACCAACACAAACACTCAACATTACTCCGGATCTAAAGCTAAGACCGCAGATCTAAAGAAAACTCACCGAAAACAGTGTTGATTGGGTTCATGGCGACCTGGTTCTTGGCCGCATCGCCGATGAGCCTCTCGGAATCGGTAAACGCCACGTACGAAGGCGTCGTCCTGTTCCCCTGATCGTTGGCGATTATCTCCACGCGGTCGTGCTGCCAGACGCCGACGCAGGAGTAGGTCGTGCCAAGATCGATTCCGATCGCTGGACCCTCGCCTTTCCCCGCCATTTTTTTTAGATCTGAGGAGAGTTAAAACCGAGAGCGGAGAAAGATGGAGGCGGATCCGCTAGGGTTTCGAAGGGAAGGAGAGAGGTTGGGGGGAGGAGGGATTATATAGGGAAAAAATTTTAGGGTTTTGGGGATTGATTATTTGTGGACGGCTGGNCTTGGACGGCTGTTTTGACCCGAGTCCGAAATTTGGGTCGCAACTCCTTTTGACTTTTTTCTTTTCCATTTATCTATTATCTATTAGGTTGTTTGTTTGCCTAAAAAAAGAGGGAAATCAAAGAATAGGAAACATATTCCTAAGAAAAATTATTTTAAGATTGTTTGGTTGGCTAAAAAAAGAAAAAAAATCAAAGAATGGGAGATGGGTTGTCACATTATTATTAGATGATGTGGGTGTTTTTTTAAGAAAATTTGTTTTGAAGTTGTTTGGTTGGCTAAAAAATAAGAAAATAAATTATAAGAAACATATTTTCTGTAATAGGTTCTTTTCTTGTGTTTGGTTCATTCATAAAAATAAGAAAATAGATGAGATGAGATGAGTTGTCATTATATTATTGGAGTATGTGACTCACACTTAGGGCCCGTTTGGTTGCTGAAAAGAGAAGTTGAAATGGACAGAAAGCTTGTCAAAACTGACAAAAACTGTCAGTTTTGACAAGCTTTCTTGCAAAAACGCCCCAAAATGATGTTTTTGTAAAAAAGCCTGCCAAAACTGACAGTTTTTGTCAGTTTTGGCAGGTTTTCCCAAGCCCTCTTCAGCAACTAAACGGGCCCTTAAGAAATAGATTTTCTAGCTTTTTTGGAGAAAATGGGTGAAAATGAAATGTTAATGAAATGAGATGGGTTGTCATCATATTATTAGATGATATTAGTGATTTTTAAAAATGAGATGTGATGGAGATGAGATGAGTTGGATGATGTGACTCATTTATTGTGTTTGGTTTATTTTTAGGAGATGATATGAGATGAGTTATGGGATAAAAATAATATTTTATTGTATGTTGTGGTGAGTTTTAGAGATAGAAATGGATGAAAATAATATTTTATTGATTTTCACGTACTCTTTTCCTTTTCTTGATTTTTCGGAAACCAACCAAACAGCCCCTTATCATATACTAATATATTTGAAACTTCAAGAATTATTTTAGCGTTTATTTAATATATATCTAGTTTTGACTAATTACCACCTAAATATCTTATATTTCCTCTGTTTGTCATGTACTAGTTGAGATGCATGTGTAATGCACGTGGTTGAATATCATGATTATTTAAATTGCTAAAAGTAGAGTAAAAATAAATAAGATAACAAAGTGTTTTGTGGGATTGTTCATCAACTCAATGATCTCGCTCAAATAAAATATTGTCATTATTGAACCTCGTATTTTTTTTTGTTAGAAGTATATGTGAATTTTTAGTGATAAATAATTCTATTTGTGGTAAATGACTTGAGGTTTTTTTTTGTTAGAAGTATATGTGAATTTTTAGTGATAAATAATTCTATTTGTGGTAAATGACTTGAGGTCATGGATATACTTGGTAACAAGTTATTAGATATGTATGAGTGTGGTTTCATAGAGTTCTGTGCATTGGTTTTGGCTGAATAACAAAACATGCACGAATTTGGAAATTTATGTCTACTTAGTCGACTTATGAGTCGACTGATGAGTCGACCAATGAGTCGACTGACGGGCTGATTTCAAATCTTTCTTTTCCTTTGCGGGTTTGGGTTGGTTTGTTTTGGGTTTGACCGCTTACATAAAAACTCTCTTGCCCGAAACCAACCCCAAAAACTCATTAGACCCCAGAGAAAACCCTAGCCCCCTCTATCCTCTCAAACCCTAGCTCGTTTTGGTGATTTTTGGGGAATTTTCGGAGGATTTCAGCGAGTTTTGGCGAGGTGCAGCGAAGGGGATCTTTCTCTCTCGGAGTCAGTGGTTATTTTAGCATATTAGAGGCGAGTAACATCTCGCCCAGCTCTCACCCACTGTTTGTGTAGTTTTCTTCGAGTTTTATTTCATTTTTCTTGAGACTAAAACGTATTTTTGTGCATAAAGATAGATACTTTATATTATGAGCAGCAAGATCTACATTTTCAGTTTAATAAAAACTCACCAATGATTTTGTAAATGTAGATCCAGATCTGGAATTTTTTTCAGTTTAATAAAAACTCACCAATGATTTTGTAAATGTAGATCCAGATCTGGAATTTGTTTAAACTTAGGTTTCATGCGATTTATTGATTTCAATGCGTTTTAAATATGGCAAAATATACATATTTAGGGTTTTGTGTAAGAAATCACATGTGAATCTTGCATTTCAGTTTGTACACTTATTATAGAATTAATTGCATACTGTTGAAAAAGATGAAAAGATCATGTTAGTTTAAAAATCTTTGCAAATAATTACTTTTATGCGAAACTGGTTTTTGATCTGCTCAATCGACCTGTCAGTCGACTGACGGGAGATTATTCTTTCTGCTTTCTTCTTGATGTCTGTCAAGTCGACTAATGAGTCGACTGATGATCCCAGTCGACTCATGAGTCGACTGACGAGGAAACTTCTAGTTTTTCCTCGTTTTGGAGTTGTTTGGGTTGTTTCGTTTTAACCGAAACTGTTTTGGCATTGTAGGCATATAAAATTGCTTATAGGTCCCTTAGCTCAGCTCGGCACAAACCGACGAACCAACGAGGCGACGAGATCGACAAATCGCACGCGAACAACGGAATGAATCCACCCGCGTGCAGAATCAAGCTAACGAGTTAAGGAATCAACGAGTCATCCAACCGAGAATAGACTCGGACGAATCACGATCGAATCAAGATCAGTTTCGGACTCGAACTCAGAGCGCAAGCTCATGGAAAAGCAGGGCTACGATTTCACACTCGGAGAAGGTTTATACTTCGATCGAGGTCCTCGTAATCCAGCCAAAGCAGTATATGTACCAAAAGGTAAACCTGAGGATTATTATAAATATGGGCGAGGCTTAGGTTATGTTTCATCAGATGACGAATGTGGTTGGCAAATTATCGATCAAATTGCTAACAAAGCCAAGAAGGGATACTCTCCCGATGCTTCAGAGTGGGACTCCGATACAAGTCTGGGAGAAGTTTTCAAAACCCTAATGGCGAACATGACTACAGCTGATCCATCCACCATGGAAGACGACGATCAAATGCCAACATGGGAAGACCCGTGGGTTCACCATCTGAATATGCAGTATGGCGATAGGTTCGAGCAAAGAGAACCACCCACTGAAGATAAAATAGTCCAGATTAACATGGGTGATGAAGCTAACCCAAAGCCTATATTCATCAGCGACAGTCTTCCCCCAGATGAGAAGGAGGAATTGATTGCTCTCATCAGGGAATATATCGACGTCTTCGCATGGAATTATGAAGACATGCCAGGGCTCGACCCCAATGTCGCAATGCACCGCCTCGATATCAAGCCGGATGCCAAACCTGTCAAGCAACAGCAAAGACGGTTTCGTCCGCAGATTATGGAAGCCATTGAGGCAGAGGTTAAGAAGTTGATCGAATCAGGATTTATCCGAGAGGAACAACATCCAGACTGGTTAGCCAACATCGTTCCCGTCATGAAGAAGAATGGCAAAATCAGGATTTGCATCGACTTCAGGAACCTGAATGAAGCATGTCCGAAAGACGATTTCCCTCTCCCGATCACGGATGTCATTATCGACAATACATGTGGATTTGAGAGGATGTCCTTCATGGATGGATTTTCGGGATATAACCAGATCAAGATGCATCCAGAGGATGAGAAGCATACGGCGTTTAGAACACCCCTCGGCGTTTTCTGCTATACGGTGATGCCTTTCGGCCTGAAGAATGCCGGTGCCACATACCAGCGAGCGATGACTAAGATTTTCCAAGAACATCTCAGGAAAACAGTCGAATGTTACGTTGATGATTTGGTTGTGAAAAGCCGCAACAAGGAAGATCACATCAAGGATTTGAAGACAATGTTCGATCTCATGAGGAGTCATCAGTTGAAGATGAACCCCACTAAATCATTTCTTGGAATGTCCAGCGGAAAATTTCTTGGGTTCGTCGTCACCACTAAGGGTATACATATCGATCCTGATAAGGTGAAGGCGATACATGAATTGCAGCCCCCGAGGAATCTGAGAGAACTCAGAGGATTGCAAGGGCGTTTAGCTTATATCCGGCGTTTCATCTCAAATCTTTCTGGGAAGTGCCAACCGTTCTCTAAGCTGAACAAGAAAGGAGTATCATTCATCTGGGATGATGCCTGCCAAAAAGCGTTCGAAGATATCAAAACATATCTGGCGAACCCTCCTGTTCTCGTTGCACCGAAATCTGGTAAACCGTTCTTGATTTATCTCAAGGCGATGAACCACTCGATAAGTGCCTTACTAGCGCAAGACGATGATAACGGTCACGAACAGGCAGTTTATTACCTCAGTCGGACCTTGGTAGGCGCTGAGTCTCGATATCCGATGATTGAGAAAGAATGCCTTGCATTGGTATTTGCGATGCAAAAGATGCGGCATTACCTAGTGGGACAGACGATCTACGTTATCTCCAACGTTAATCCAGTACGGGTGTTTATGACGCAACCGGCCTCTATGAATTGGCGTCTAGCGAAGTGGGCCCTTCTCTTGTCCCAATACGATTTGCACTTCAAGCAGCAGAAGTCGATAAAAGGACAGGCGATTTGTGACCTTTTGGCGGCAAACCCGACCACAGATACGGCAGAAGTATATGATGACTTGCCGGATGAAACCCACGAGGTTAACACCACATCACACCAACAAGTATGGCAATTATACTTCGATGGTGCCTCAAGGGCAGTTAATAGAGTAATAACCCCGGGATGTCCTACAGTTTCCTCTGGAGTTGGAGTCGTCTTAATCTCCCCTGGAAAGCACGTGATGCCTCGGGCTTATTCGTTGACTAGTCCGTGCTCCAATAATGTTGCCGAATACAACGCGCTTCTCATTGGACTCAGTTTCGCCAAAGAGCTGGGGGTCGAATATCTCGAAGCTTTTGGAGATTCGCAATTGATAGTCAACCAAGTTCGCGGTGAGTATGAAGT